AGGACGGCTCTGTAAGTGACGTGGGGATGGAAATCGTGTCTGGTCTGGCAGTAATACATGAATATTGTTTGAAATGTCTGATGAATATTATTATTTTGATCATCTTGACTACAGCTGTTTCTATAGCAGTAGTTAATCTGGGCCACAGACTTTATAATGACTGAAGTTAGTGATGTAGTAAAGTGACAGGTTTTCCATGACCGTCCTTTGTGTGACAAACAGCCAAGAGCCAAAATTTCACAGAATGTTCGGACTCCGTGCCCGTAAGTGGAAGGTCGCTGGTTCAGATCTCCTGGCCGGCAGAGTGATGTCCAAACTTCCTCTCACCTGTGTGTGTCTCATGGAGCAGAATGGGATGGGTGAAAAGTCAATTTCCCCAGGGGGATGAAAGAAGTATCACTATTTATAAATATTTCTTTTAAATGAATGTTCCCTTTAAAAGCATATCTGAAAGGATTGGTAGTCCTACAATTAGGGTATTGGTGATTTCATAAGTTCCCAGGTAGAGCAATACAGAAAAAAAGGATTTCACTCACAGGATTAGGAATTCAGGTGTTACCCTGTGACTGAATGGATTTTAGAGCATATTCACACTCATGCCCTCATTCAGACTGGCTCTGGAACATAATGCAATGTAACACATACAGAACATTATTGGGAATATGGTCTGTATGACTTATGAAATGTACAGTTTGAGTAAAACTATAGGCTTTTAACATGTCATATATAGACTTACTCACTGTCAATGATTATATGCCTGCAAAAATGGCCAAAATGCACAGTAAACTCACAGAAGATCCTGTAATGTGCCAACAGCTGCTCATGTGTGTAGATTGATCCAGTTCCTGAATGTTCTCCACACAAAAGCTTTCAGGATATTTGTGTTTTGAAATGAAAACGTTCACTGTATTTTTCATGACAGGGAATATGATGACCATCAGAGGATTGACCAGAATTAAAAATGTACCAGTACTGTCGTGATTTAATCTAGTGTTGTGTTTAATTACTAATTCTCTTTGAAGTGTATTCTGTGCCTCTTATTATGCTGAAAAAAGTTTGATTGGATATTTTGTACCACTATGATCACTGATGTGTAGGATACATACTGGTCTGTATGTGTATAATAACATGGCTCCTTTTTGCAGGCTGAACAGCTGTAATCTCACAGAGACATGCTGTGACACGTTGGCTTCAGCTCTCAGATCAAACTCCTCACCCCTGAGAGAGCTGGACCTGAGTGACAATGACCTGCAGGATTCAGGAGTGAAGCTGCTCTCTGCTGGGCTGGGGGGTTCACACTGTAAACTGGGGATACTGAGGTCAGTATTATTGGGGGATTCACACTGTAAACTGGGGATACTGAGGTCAGTCATATTTGTCCAATCGAATTGTAAACTGGTATTTCACACTGATATTGCAATTGGGGCCCAGATTAAACCCCAGGTCACGGGTATTTGACAGTACAATTGAGACACCCTCCACTCTGCAGACACAGACAGGAGTGTCCTGGGAAGGGCTGAGGGATCAGCCACATGGCCAGTTCATTTACTCTGACTTAAGCTCCTGTTTAGGCCTCTAGATGCAGCAGAAGGACTAATATTATAGGAGCCTCTCATGTCTGAAGAGCCTCAGCCAGTAATGCGGCTGATCCTGAATCCAAGCTGCCTAAGCATGAACTATGTCAGTACTTTATAATATAAAGTGTTTCTGTGACGTTTGCAAGGCAAGTCACTGCACTCACACCATTTCATTCCCACTAAGCAGGTATAGATTTCAGCTTTTTATTTCTCAGAAAAGAGGACGTGATGCAGATGTTTTGTTTTAATATTGTTATACTGACTTAATATTGTTACACTGTGTACTAGAGTAAATACCTGGGCTGGACTTTTCACAGTTTCATAGCAGAGGAACCTAAATCACATTTCCTCAGGTGGAATTACACCTAATAAAATCCTCCTTTATTTTGGGTACCTGCTGCATGGACCCCTTCCTGTGTCACATCAGCCGCCTGTCAGCTATGAGAGAGGAATCACTCCTGTAATCAGCTCTCACTGCACTGTACACATCTGTGTGGACCACAGTGTTTAAAATGTTCATGTGCTAAGGTCTCTCAAACAGGATTCCTGAAAGTACTGTTGCATCCCTCGATTTTTTTCAAAAATAACTTTTAACTTCATAATTTGTACAGTTTTAATATAAAACAAGCTGTGCATCAGGTAGGCCGGCCTGACAGGCCTGCATTAGCTGTTGGGGATGTTCACATCTCCTCTGGTCAGAGTTCCTAGTCAGTTTGGGGACACCTGGCATGAAGATGGCTGACGACTGCAGTGGAAGCTGTTTCATTGGTCTGATAATTTGCTTATTAAAATCATAAATCTGCTAAAATTAAGCTTTAAAACCTGTTTATGCAAAGGCTGAAATGAAAACAATGTCAGCTATATTTGCGTGGGAACTATTTCAAGGAAATTACTTGAAAAGCTTTAGATCAGCCCACAGATACAATAGGGGTGTGTTAACTTCTGACATCCACTGCACACATATTCACCTGCTGCCAGTGTTTACAGCCAGAACATGGCAGACTCTGTACCCCCCTCTCCTTCAGGGGATTCTCAGTGATTCTTCTAGGCAGTCAGATGGGGGTGTTTCCCAGCTCTGTTCTGATCATGGTTCTGGATGTGAAGGTTAATCTTTCCCAGGTTAGTCCCTTGTGGTGGGTAAGGAGGCAGGAGATACAGGAGTGTAGTGGGGGGGTTATTTTAGGGGGAAAAGGGAGGGCATTTAGAAAGGGCAGCCAGATTGTGGAGGCTAGCTGGGCCCGGCTCCTTGGTCGCTGGCTGAGCAGGTGGGGGGCGGCAGAGACAATAAGCAGGCTGCTCACCAGTCACCCTCTCCCCCCCCCTGCCCACGATGCAGGCTCTGAGCCGTGCTGGGGGAGGCGATCCCACCCCCTCTCTGGGGCTGTTATCAGCTGCCAGCCGCCTGCTGTTGACATTCCTTTCTTCCTCATGTGTGGTTCTGCGGTCGATCGTGGGGATCTTGTGGTTTCTGTCCGGCGCTGTGGTGCTGATCGTCCTCTTTGGGATTTAGCCGACTTTCCTGCCCCTGTGGCGTCACACTGTTTGCTCTTGGCGTCACTGCAGGGCCTCATCCTCTCTGCCATCAGAGCTCTTCTTGTGGCAGGACTGTGGATGAGGGAGTCCAGGTCTAAGTTTCATGCAGTGGGTCACTGTCACTGGATGGTTTAATTTTGAACTGAGCTGATTATTCATGTCTGTTATTACACAGTCAGTGAGGCTAAAAGGTGAGCTTCAGTGAACAGTGTGTGGGGGCTGCAGGAACAGAGGCACACAGGCAAACCCGGGGGCAGAATAATGCCCCCAAATGGCAGCTTTTCATCAGAAACAGGGAGAGCAGAGATGGAGGAAAAGGGGGAGGAGCTGAAGGGCTGTTTGGTCTGGGGGGTCCAGGCCAGTCACTGGTCCCAGTCAGGCTGTGGCTTTGGGCACGTCAGCACTGGCATTTTGATGGGTTGCTGCCACCTGTAATTTGTCTGATATTTAATGATTTCCTTTCTGCAGGCTGTCAGGCTGTAGAGTCACAGAAGAAGGCTGTTCTTCCCTGGCTTCAGCTCTGAGG